CAGCAGTATATATATATATAATAAAATTGTGTATTAAAATAATGCCCTTCAATACAATTCATTAAACCAGAACCAAGCAAGCCACACTATGGCTTAGCCCAGTGTGTTTTCACAGCCATTCAATAAAGAGTACAAATTCTCAGAAATGACACTGCCAGCAATAAAATACTGTCTTTCATTTTTTGGACATGATCAGTACACATTTCTGTAAGTGTTTTACTTTGTTTTTAAAGGATACTGAAGAGAAAATAATGCAGGATATAACCAACATCTTGACAGGTGGCTTTATACCTAACTTTGGGACCTATGCACCAGATTTAAAGGAGAATGTGCAAATGATAAAAGAATTAAGAGAGCAATTTCAACAGGAATGGAAATTGCTTCAGTGTTCAGGTAAGCAATCAGAGATGAATGAAAACAAAATGCAAATCTGCATTAAATATCTTATTGCAAAGCTTTGAATTGCCTGTGGTTAGAGATTCTTGAGAGGAAAAAGATGCATTTTTGTTGCAAAATCTGACTATTTTTTTTCTTTTTGTTTTCTGTAGCAAAGAACTCCAAAGATGAAAACTAAAATAACTTTATTTCAATGGTCTCTTTTGTCCCACATGAAAACAAAACAAAACAAACCATCAGAACAAGATATGCTTTATGAATACAAGGGCATAAAATGTTCCTGAACTGATTTTTTATATAATCTTTACCTTGAGGATTATCGTCCAGCTCTTTACCTCAGAAATGCTATTGTCTTTGCTATAAAGACTTTTTAAAATTTCATACATACCTAAATATTTGTTTTTTTTAGCTGCCTCCTCTTGACCTTTACAAACGGCTGTGACAAGAAAGGAGAGTTGTGACTGATTACAAGGGCTTTGTGCGGCCCTGCTCTAAGAGGGAAGACACAAGAGACAGCCAATTAACTCTGTACAGCTCCACTTTTTTAATATGAGAAAAATAGGTTAAGCTTAATATCTTAAGCTCAAGCTGAGGAAAAGAAGATGTGGGGATCACAAATGGGATTGTGCTTCTGCAGTAGTTTCCTGCTGACATGTATGCTTGTAAGTTAAATCTTATATTTCTCATGTATGATTTTCACAATATAAAGTAAACTTGATTATCTTACTAACTCTGATGAGACTGATTGCCTTCTGTAAGAAATAACTTGTTCAATAAGGTTACTAACATCCTTGGGATGTTAATGAAGTTTTAAATATTTCATCACTGACCAATAGTTGGGACAAGGAGCCATAAGTGGGGAAAAAGCAGTCTGTTTTCTTAGTAGGTTGACCTGCATTGAAAGTTAAGCCTCGTTGTACTTGGAGAAGCTGTAGGTTGGACTGCGAAGTCTAAAAACGTCCCCAGAGAAAGCTTCTACATTGTTTCCAAGAACACTACATGGATGTGTTCATGCAATTACAGTACATGGACTCATACTCAATTTTTGTAAACCGTTTCTATAACGACTTAGCAGATGTGCTGGGAGCTGAATAAAAGTATAATATAATATAGCACACCACAGCACAGGTTAAGTTGCTTCTTCCTGCGCGCGCCTTGTATGCAAACCAAAAGGCTCCGCGCGCCACACGCCAGCCCACCAATCGCCTCCCTCCGCCTTCACGCTCCGCCTCTCAGTGCCGGCGTTCGACTCCTCCGGATCCTCTCTCTCGCTGGCCGAGTGACGCCACTGGCCCAGCCATCCGCCTATTACGTGCCTCCATTCCTCCCACGTGGCACCTATGCGATTCTGCGCCTGCCCGACTCCGCCCTCCTGCGGTGGCTCCGCCTACTTGCTCATGATTTCTCCGTTCCCCGCGGTAGGTTAGACCTTCCTTTGAATTTTAGGCGTTGGTTCAGGGAGGTCGTTCTTCCCTGACAGGCGATATTGGGTGTGTGTGTGTTGGGGGGGGGGTTAGTTTTAGTTTTGGGGGGAATGGCGCCTTCTCGGGTCAG